TCTTAAAAAAACCTCATAAATACCTCAGAAACCTCAAACTCATTGCCCTTGGGTCAGAAACAACTCCTAACTAACCCTCCCATGGGTTTTCAGAGGCTATAAACTACACAGACTATGTTCCTCTTTCTCCGTAGATTAGCTAGGAGATTTCAGCTGTCAGAGAGGCACCCCTTTTGGATTAGCCACACAGCTCCACAGCCACCAGAGCTCTCGGGACTGTAAGGTTTTTTCTATGAATACTGATCAGAAAGCTAGAAGCAGGAAAATGGACTAAATGGAATCCATGTATATATAGAAGGAAGATAAGCTGAAGATAATTTATATTATCTGTTTACTCTTTTTTAAAAAACTCAAAAAGTCATTTCTCCTTTAACTATCAGGTAAAGTAATTGGGAAGAATGGCAAAGTGATCCAGGAGATTGTGGATAAATCTGGAGTGGTCAGAGTTCGAGTGGAAGGGGATAATGACAAGAAGAACCCCAGAGAGGAGGTATGAGAAGAAAACACGAGACTGAGATTGACTTCCAGGAGTGAGTAGGATTGTTCTCAAAAGTCCTTCTGAGCATTGGGATTTCTAAGATGTGCAGCATGGGAACTTTCCCCTCTAGGAAATTTATAGCTTATTGGGTAGGGTCAGCTTCCCAAGGAGATGGGGTAGGGAGGATTATTTACTTTGACTGTCCTTTTGACCCATCTTTCCTTCCATCTGCTCTCCAGGGAATGGTTCCCTTCATATTTGTTGGCACCCGAGAGAATATAAGCAATGCACAGGCTCTGTTAGAATATCATCTCTCTTACCTGCAGGTAAGTCTGGGAAACAAATGGAAGATATAGCTGTAGCCACATCTAAAAGGACTTAGACTGCTGGTGTGTAAAGTTAGAAGGTGTGGTTCCCAGGAGGGTGGAATTTAGGGACTGTAGGGCTGAATCCCAGAATTTTCCTCATTAGGCAAATGTTTTTCTTTGTACATTTTGAGACTTTAGACCTCTGGTGGCTTTGTGCTAAGTAGTTATGCTGCTGCCCTGAAGGCACGCAGTTCAAATCCACTGGCTGCTTTGTGGGAGAAAGGTGGACAGTCTCATGCTGTGTGATGTACAGCCTCTGAAAACCTGCTAGAAAGGTCACCTGTGAGTTGGTTCTAACTCATATAACAGCAGCAGCAGGATGGTCAACGTGGGAAAGCAGGAAGGAAAGGGACTGTCTATTAATCCCATTTTTACCCTTCCTCCTTGACATTCCTTTATCTTCTCAACCAGGAGGTGGAGCAGCTTCGCTTGGAGAGGCTACAAATTGATGAGCAGCTTCGGCAGATTGGTCTGGGTTTTCGCCCGCCTGGGAGTGGGCGAGGCAGTGACAAGGCTGGATACACCACTGATGAGAGCTCTTCCTCCTCCCTCCACACCACTCGCACTTACGGGGGCAGCTATGGGGGCCGGGGCCGGGGCCGGAGAACAGGTGGTCCCGTCTGTGGTGAGACTGCTGTGGGCTGGTGGGGCTTGTGGGAGAAGTCTGGGTGGACACTCACGGAAAACAGTAATAGACATGACAAAGACAACTGGGAAACGGGTGGGAGAATTTTGATTGGGGGCTGTGCTTGCTCCTGGGGTGAGTGAATGGCCCTGATTGAACCACACCATGTCTTACAGGCCCCAATTCAGACCCATCCACAGCTTCTGAGACAGAATCAGAGAAGAGAGAAGAGTCCAGCCGAGCTGGGCCTGGCGACCGTGAGCCTCCAATCCGGGGGGAAGAAAGCCGGAAGCGGCCAGTTGGAGGACGAGGTCGGGGCCCTCCGCCTGCCTCCAGGCCTACCTCTCGATATAACTCTTCATCCATCAGCTCAGGTACCAGAGTCCTGGGTCTGTGAACATGGGTTAAGAGGAGGAATTCTTAGAGCAGAATGGACACCTGACTCCCAGTGCCATTCTTCCTTTAATCAGTGCTAAAGGACCCAGACAGCAACCCCTACAGTCTACTGGACACATCTGAACCAGAGCCCCCCATTGATTCAGAACCTGGGGAGCCACCTCCAGCAAGTGCAAGGCGTCGTCGCTCCCGCCGCCGACGCACTGATGAAGACAGGACTGTCATGGACGGAGGCTTGGAATCTGATGGGCCCAGCATGACAGAAAACGGCCTGGGTGAGGAGTTCACCTGGGACCTGACAAATTACAGAGTGCTGAATGAAGGGATGGGATTGGGTTATTGGGTGCAAGACTCATTTCTCCCTGTCTACAGAGGAGGAATCAAGACCCCAGCGTCGCAACCGGAGCCGCCGCCGCCGTAACCGTGGTAATCAGGCTGATGGTTCTGTCAGTGGAGACCGTCAACCAGGTGAGCTGGTGCTGGGTGCCTGAATCCTTCCAGAGCTGCGAGAGTGGGGTGCTTTCTCCCTTGTGGAAACCCGGCCCGGTCCTCAGTGGCTCTTCCTTCACCAACACTGAACCCTCTTCCTTCCCCAGTGACTGTCGCTGACTATATCTCACGGGCAGAGTCTCAGAGCCGCCAGCGGCCAGCCATGGAACGCACTAATCCTTCAGAAGACTCTCTTTTAGGACAAAAGGTAGGTAGGCAAGTTGTCATTTATACCTTGCCTCTTTTTTGTTGTCTCTTCAGAAGGACTTACAGAAATCTCTGCACTGCAGATCTCTGTATCAGAGTTGAGATTGTATTTAAAATAGTGGTCACGAGAAAACTTTGGTTCAGGTGTTCTGGCTTTCAGTCAGGTGAGAGGGTATGTCATAGACTTGAATTTCTACTTAAAACACCTTTCTCCATTTTCTTTTCCACTTTCCCCTCAGGGTGACTGTGTCAGCAAGCTTTCTAAGGGCCCTTCGGAGAATGGCGAGCTCTCCGCTTCCCTAGAGTTGGGTAGTTTGGTGAATGGAGTGTCATAAAACCTCCGACTCTGATCCCTCCCTTCTCCATCTCGCTTGCTGCCCGACATCATGGCCCTAACAGGCCCGACTGACCTGCGCTGCAGCTGCTCTTATCTAGGGGGGTGGGGGGTAGCACAGCAGCTTGGGTCCCCCCCCAACCTCCAGGAGCTAGTGGAGGGGTGTATAACAGGGTCATGCCCTCCTCCCTATTGTCCACCCCACCCCCAGGGTGAGGGGAGCATCTCCTTCCCCATCAGACTGGATGTGCCTTTATCCTCTAATGCCCCAATCTCTCTGAACACCCCCATTTTCTGCCTGTTGGGGGGGGTGCTCCTTGACCCACCCAAATTTTGACAGTTCAGGGGGGATCCCCTGCTATCCCTCCTCCCATCCTGTACCCCCCCATTTCTGGGGCCTCATCACTGTGGAAGACAGGGATAGTAAGGGAATAAGTGAGTGGGTGGGAGGCATGGGGAAGGTTTTGAAGTAGAACCAGGGGTATGTATGAAGGGTGGTGACAAGGTCCCCTAGGGGGAGGGGGGACCAACCCTGTCTGGTGGATGAGAAGGCGTATTTATTTTTCACTGTACAGTATTTAAAGAGAATAAAAAAAAAGAATCCAAATGGTTTCTGTTTCTTCTTTGTGCCCAGCTTGTTCAATCCCATTTCTCTAGGACTGACCTCCCCTGGTTGCTCCTCCTACACTTGGCTTATTCCTCATATCCCCAATGTGGGCTTTCAACGAATTCTTGACATTCTTAAATTCCCAGGGCCCAAGCCCCCTTTTGCTTCCCTTCCCACTAAGTGTGCTGGTGGGTGAGTGTTGGGTGTGGAGTGGCTGTGCCCTGAGTCACAGCATGGGCTAGGTAGGGCCTGTGGAGCTGTTCCTGCCCTAAACTGAGCACCTAATAGAGTGCTTAATCCGATTATGTGAGGCCTGGGGCTAGGGCTGGGCCTCTGGCAGAGTGGGAGTGAGTTTCATGAATGACTGACAGTCCCTGCTGGTTCACTGGACTCCAGCTTCTTCCTCCACTTTTGAAGTTGACCTAGGTCTTCTGGCTCCAGACTGCAAAAGTTTGGAGGTATAAATTTGGCCTTACAACCTTAGTCCCGGGGCTGGAACCAGGAGGGCTTGAATTTTCTCACCTGGGAAGCACCCACTCTTATGACTAAGAAAGCAAAAGGGCCCACCTCCCTGACTTAATAGCCCCAGGGGCAAGTGGAGAGATTGAGGAGCCAGCAGCACAAGAGTCTGCAGTTGGGGATGGTGATGCTCTGCATTTCCTCTGCATAATAAAGACTCTGCAGGCTTTGGGTCCCTCTGTCTTTTCCAGTGCTTGAGCTCTCTGTGGGAAGGAACTGACTTAAATGGTAAATGCTTAAGGGTGGAAGAGTTGCTGATGAGGCAGGCTTTACGGGCTCAAGTTTCTAGCCCAGAATGGCAGGCAGTGTGACCCCAGGAGCTGCTCCATGGAAAAAGCCATCAGTAAAGATGATAGGCCTTGGAAACTTGAGGTAGTTTGTCCTGTAGCGTTGATGAGAATCAGAATTGAGCTATGAAAGGAGGAGAGGGAGAAGACATTCCACAGGACTAGTGCTGAAGGCCAACCTTTCAAGGCCGTGGGTGGGGCTGGGCGACAGGACACCTGGGTTAGCCTGGGGAAGGAGAGCATGCAGGCTCCCAAGGAGGCGCCTCTTGGGAGGGGTTGGAGGGGGAGGAGTGTCTTTAAATGCAGTTCCCGGGCCTGGCCCCGAGTCACAAACTTTTGAGAGGCACCTGGGCTGTACCACCCACACCTGCAGGACCTGGACAGGCAAGGTTTGCCGCTTCCACTCAAGGTAAGTCGGGTCTGCAACGTCAAGAGAGGGGATGTGGACTGGGAGCCCCAAGAGCCAAGAGGCAATGCCCTGCAGTGAGGGGTGCGGACACAGAATCCTCTCTCCACAGTGTGCTGTCTTGTGGGGAGCCGGGACTCCATTTTAAGGACTTACTCTGGACTTGGGAACTTTTTAAGGCTACAGATTTCTCCATACGCCTTCAGACTCGGAAGACATTGTGTTTTAAGGTTACTGGGTCAGTGGTTCACTTTGGAGGAGAGGGCCTTCAGAGGAGGCTCCCCATGTCATTACCGGGTTCCTCACAGGGCCAGGCCTGGAGCTTGGAGCCCCCCGTTTCTGTGGCCCCTTGCTCATCACCGGGGTCTCTGGAGTTGGAGGGTGCAGATGGCCCAGTGCTTCCCTTAGACAAAGTGAAGCGGCCCATGAACGCCTTCATGGTGTGGAGCTCCGCACAGCGGCGCCAGATGGCGCAGCAGAACCCAACGATGCACAATTCCGAGATCTCTAAGCGCCTGGGTGCTCAGTGGAAGCTGCTGGGCGAGGATGAGAAGCGGCCGTTTGTGGAAGAGGCTAAACGGCTCCGGGCCCGGCACCTGCGCGACTACCCCGACTATAAGTACCAGCCCCGGCGCAAGACCAAGGGCCCAGGCCCCGCACACCCGCACCTCGGCCAGGGAAGGAGCAGCGTGGCTGGCAGACAGCACACCTGGCAGCCAGGCTGTGCGACCACGCACGGGACCAGAAGCTTTGGTTACCAGCCCCCAGGTTATTCAACAGTCTACATGCCTGGCAGCTACTGGGGAGTACCTAGGGATGCAGGGTGAGAAGAGATGGTTGTTCCATTCTGGATGAGGGTGGGTGTGGAGCCAGGTGTCCTGAGGAAATGTGGACTGGGTGTGGGGACAGAAGCTGTAGCTAAGGTGTCAGTGCCCCATGAAAGGGGGGTTTTGGGGTCTCCTAGAGGCTATTTCTGCCTGGAGGTGGCAGCCCCTCAGGTACAGACTTGGGGACTTCAGGTTGTGACCATTATTCTGGATGCCTAGTTCCTTCTGTGGCCCATATGTGACCCAGCTTCCTCTCCCAGCCTCAGGGGCAAGGAGAGGCCAAGCCCAATTCTACCCCTTCCTGGCCTCCTGCCCCGAGAGGAAAACAGCCTCGCAGCACACAAGCCGCTTGAGCATGCCCCAACACAGGGCTGCATGGATCCAAGCTCCCAGGTTCTGGTCCCATACCACTACAGTGACAGCGAGCTTTTTCCTACCCAGAACTGATCAGGCCTGACCCCTGCCCTGTGTTAAGGACACCCTCTAACCCTGTATTTCTCTCTTTTCAGCTCTTCTCACTGCAAACCTGAGGCCCCCTCTTCATGCTCCCTCCCTGGCTCAATGCTCCAGGGTGAGCCACTCATGCCCTACAGATCCCACAGACCCGCAGGCTCTCCCACTGGTCTACAGCCCGCTGGTCTCAAGGTCCCTGGTGCCCCTAACCCACCTCCAGCCCCTGTAGATGGGGACCACCCAGGAAGGGCTCACCCCCACCATTCCACTGTCCACACAGTTCAGATGGATGCTGCCAGGAATGAGACATTTCTTTTTCTTTTGTAGGAAGAACACAGTTTTGTATGATGAAGCTTGTGTCTGAGTTTTTATTCTATCTCTGCACCCACTCACCGCTGTAGAAACTGTGCCATCTCCACTCCCTTCCGCCTAGACCTGCCAGAGCAGGAACTTCAGCACCTCCCTCTGGGGCCCTGCCTTAAGTCATCCTGGCCCCCCATCTCCTACCAGCTCGGGTTCTGGAGACAATCAGGTTGGGGCTTGGGAAGCAGCTATAAACCTAATCTCTGGCCAAGCTCTGTCCTCTAGGGTCAGAATGGGAAGGGTGGGGGAGGGTAAGACATTTGTCAAGGAATCCCAGTTACAGTCATTAACAGTCAAAAGACTTCAAAATCCTCTACTCTCAAAAGAGGCTTTATCTTTCTCCACCAACTATGTGCTTTTGTAAAAGCCCTGGCTCAAGAAGTTTCAACTGGAAGAGGGGCAGAGATGTTTAAATTAAAAAACCACAGAGATGTTTAAATTAAGAACCACACAGCCAACTTGGCTCAGTGAGGGGCCTGAGGCTGGGTGGATGAATGGAAACAATGGACTCTGAGCCCTACTGGTCCTTTTTTTGCTTGTGAGGAGCCTTTATGTTCCAATAGTAGAGAAGTTGGGCTGCGATGAGGCCATTGCAGAGAGATGAGACCACAAAGGTTCCAGCCATGAGAGGGTCTCCAGTTTCCTGGGTGTAAAGGACAGAGCTAGAGTCACCCTTCAGTACTGCCCAAGAAGGTTTTCCCTGAGGACAAAGATTCCAGAGAAGGGCCACTTTAGCTGGCATAGGAGGTGAAGTTTTGGTGCCTCTGGAGGGAGGGGGTACACTCACCTGAATGGAAGTGAAGATGCGGGCCAAAGAGCCCCCAAACAGCAGGAAGACTGTGATGGCCGAAAGCTGGCCTGTGTGCCCATTGCGGTAGTTGGTGGCTGCTTGGAGCAGCTAGGAGGGAAGTTGAGACCATGAGAAATTCCTGTTCTGAATTTCCACGTTCTTACTTCTCATGCCCCTTGGTTGGCACCTTTGTCCGTCCTTCTGCCCCCATTACTCACCCTCCCCACCACCACAGCAGGAACGTTAGAGGCTTGGAGCAGTGTGACCACAGCCAGGGGTGTCAGTGGTAAAAGCAGCACCAACAGGAGCAGGGCATAGCAGGCTAGGAAGGCAACACCTGGGGCCAAGGAGACAAGGACCTCATCAGCATCGTCAAGTCTACCTTCCCAGGAGGGCTCCAAAGAGCTGGCCCCACTCAGGTAAATCCACAGCACCTTTCCCAGTCTGTCCTCTGTAGTGCAGGACCAGGAAGCAGATGGTGATGGTCTGAAGCATCAGGAACAGGGCTTCACCCCAAGAGCTGCAGAGTTAAGAGTTGGGAGGAAGATGGGGCAAGAAGAGCTTCCACACCTCATTCACCTGGGGACACAATTCTCTCCACAGCCCTGCTGCTTTGTCACTGGGATAGTGACTGACCTCATCTCCATAGCAAGGTATTCTCAAGGACTAGGTTTCCCGAAGGGTTGTCTGGAGAATTGCCAGCATTTACCCTTGGGAACAAAGGTAGGGCTCTCACCTGAAGGGGAAGTTGTTGGTGATGCTGTAGACCATTGTCCCAGTCAAGGCCACTAGCTCTAGCATTACTGACTGAAGGCTCAGCCCTTCAGCGCTCTTGGCCCCCAGGATTTTAAAAACCTGGGGCAGCTTCACTGAGGAAAAGATGAGAAGATGAGGTTTCTATCCATGGGTAGCTCAATACAACTAAAGACCAACCGTTATTGGGGAACATGCTAATCCCACCTCCAGTTAAATACTAGTCTATGCCCTCTAAACATCCTGACCCCATCCCAAAAGTAGGAAAGGAAAAGGAGGTACATACCCAGAAGTGATCCAGACACAATGCCTAGCCCCAGGCCTTTGCTGAGGAGAATCTTGAGGCAAGGGACTGAAAAGAAAAAGAGGTTCACTGGGATGAGGCCTGGCTTTCAGGAGGCAGCCTGCTGGCTATAGAGCATTTAAGTTCTACCAAGGTTGCCTTCCCTTAGGACTGACCTAAGCACAGTGGTAGTCTCACAGCAGGGGAACAAAGCCCAATTCTCCGTGTTCTACATCATCTATTCATACCAGCTTTTTCCAAGCTTACTTCCCAACCGACTCTAAATCAACAGCTAATCTCAGCCAGACATCTATTCTAAGGCTTCCACGACTTCCCTGTACAAAGCTGGGCAAGGGTGAGGGGTCATACTCAAGCTTCTGTGCCTTCAAGTGGCTTCTGGCTCAGGGTGACCATGTGTTACAAAGGAGAACTTCCAACTGGGTTATTTTTGTGGAAACAGATAAATAGGCCTTTCCAAGCACTGCTAAGTGAATTTGAATTGCCAGCTTTTAGTTAAGTTCCTCACTCACTGCTGTTAATAGACTCTGCTGACCCGTCAGCAGGTTTTTCAGAGTATTCTATAATGAAATGTGCAAAGAGCTAGAGTTGGAAATTAAAAAGTGTCAAACTTGCTCGGTATTCCTTAAACTGACGAAACTGAAGATAACGTTTAAGCCTTGAGTTGCAATACTTAGGATGCAGATTACCGAACGATCTAGGAAGCATCAAAAGAAGATGGAAGGAGTATACAGTCACTGTACCAAAAAGAACTGGCTGACACAGAAGTATTTAATGAAACAGCTTATGTTCATGAGGCAATGGTGATGAAGGAGGAAGTTCAAACTGCTCTGAAGGAATTAGCAAAAAATAAGGCCAACTGACATTGGAAGTGCTCACCAGCTTGTGCAAAGAAATCTGGAGGGCAACCACCTGAAGAGATTCATATTTATTCCCATTCCAAAAAAAAGGATGATGCAACAGAGTGGAAATTATAGAACAGTATCACTAATATCACATGCAAGCAAAATCCTGCTGATGATTATCCAAAAGCTACTGAAACAGTAGTACATGGAGAACTACCAGAAGTACAAGCTGGGTTTAGAAGCGGTTGTGGTATTTAGGGACATCATTACTAAAGTCAGATGGATCTTGGTTGAAAGCAGAAAGTACCAGAGGAATGTGTGTGTTTTATTAAATATGCAAAGGCATTTGACTGTGGGGATCACAACAAATTGTGGCTAACCTTAAGGAAAATGGGAATTCCAGAATACCTGATTGTGTTCATACAAAACTTATACTTGGATCAGGAGGCAGTCGTCAGAACAGAAAACACTGCATGGTTCAAAATCAAAAAAGGAATGTGTCAGGGATGTGTCCTGTCTCCATACCTTTTCAATTTGTATACAGAATAGATAACTTGAGAGGCTGGACTTTTACCAACAACCTGCGTTATGCAGATGACACAACCTTACTTGCTGAAACTGAGGAGGGCTTGAAGCATTTGCTGCAGAGAGAGAGGGTCAAGGAGTGTAGTTTCAATATGGATTGAAGCTCAACATCAAGAAGACGAAGATTCTCACCACTCGGTCCACTGGCAGCATCATGGTAGATAGTGAAAAGACAGATTGCTAACAGTTTCAGCTTGCTTGGATCCACAAATAATGCTCTTGTCATCAGCAGTCAGGAAACCAAAAGGTGAATTGCATTAGGGAAATCTGCTGTCAGGGACATCTCCAGAGTGCTGTCAAGCAAGGATGTCAGTCTAGAGAGTAAGGTGTGCCTGATCCAGGCCATAACTTTTGCAATTATTTGCTATGCATGAGAGTGCTGGACAATAGCCAAGGATGAGAGAATAATCGGTGCCTTTGAGTTGTGGTGCTGGAGAGAAGTACTGAACATACCATGGACCACCAAGAAAACTAACAGGTCTGTTCTGGAGAGGGTGAAATCAAACTGCTCCTTGAAGGGAAGGATTTTTGAAGCTCCCCATCTTACATACTTTGGGTATGTGGCCAGAAGGGACCAGTCCTTGGAGAAGGACATCATGCTTGAAAGGGGGAAAGGATAATGCAAGAGGGGAAGACCCTGGATGAGATGGATTGACACAATAACTGGGTTAATGAGGGTGGGTGTGTCAGAGACTATGAGATTGGCTCAGGATAGGGCAGGATTCAGAGCTATGAGTCATAATCCACTTGAGGGTAGATGTGAACCACCAGTTGTTGTTATGTGCTGACAAGTTGCCTGCAACTCATAGAGACCCTATGTACAACAGCCCTAAACTCTGCCCTATCCTGTGCCAATCTCACCATCTCCGACACACCTACCCCCATTACCCCAGTCACTGAATCAATTAATCTCATCAAGGGTCTTCCTCTCCTGCGCTGTCCCTCCACCCTCCGAAGCATGACGTTCCTCTCCAAGGACTGGTCCCTCCTTGCAACATGTCCAAAGTATGTCAGACGAAGCTTCATAATCCTTGCCTCCAAGGAGCAGCCAGGCTTCACCCTCTCCAGGATAAACCTGTTTGTTTTCCTAGCAGTCCATGGTATATTCAATACTCTTCTCCAACACCACAGCTCAAAGGAATCAATTCTCCTTCTATCCTCCCTAGTCATTGTCCAGCTCTACGATGCATAGCAAGTGATTGCAAAGACCATGGCATGTATCAGGTGCACCTCAGTCTCCAGACTGACATCTTTGCCCTTCAGCACTTTAGAAGGGTCTCTAACTGGAGACTCCCATCGCAATACGTCTTTTAATTTCCTGGCTGCTGTTGCCAAGAGTGTTGACTGTGGATCCAAGCAAACAAAAACTGTGAACAATCTCAATCTCCTAACCATCCATTAGGACACTGCCAATCGGCCCAGTGGTGAGAATCTTTGTTTTCTTGATATTCTCAATCCATACTGAAGACTGCAGTCCTTGATCTTCCACAGCAAATGCTTCAGGTCCACCTCAGTTTCAGCAAGCAAGGTTGGGTCATCTGCATACCACAGACTGTTGTTGATTCTTCCTCAAATTCTGATGCCACATTTCTCCTCATAGAGCCCAGGCTCCCAGATAACCTGTTCTGCATAAAGACTGAAAGGGTATGGAGACAGAATACAGCCCTGGCGTACACTCCTCCCAATTTTGAACCATTCAGTGTTTCCTTGCTCTGTTCTGACGACTGCTTCCTGGTCCAAGTACAGGTTTCGCATTAGCACAACCACCAGAGGCTTCACTTCTGTGTCAGCAGTGCACTCGCGAAAGATTGCTCCAGAGGTTCAGATAATCTCATCCTTGGGACAATTCTCAAGGGCCTTTCTTTATTCATTCCCCTTGCTGAGCAACAAGATGGCCCATTACCAGTCGTCTCTCTCCAAAGACTGGCAGGTCCACCAGTATTTATAACACTTTCTAAGTCTCCCAAGCCCCTGCTCAGCAGCTTAATCCTACCTTTCCACAGCCTATGCTTCTATCTCTGGAGCTTTCACAAGGAGTGATGGCAGTAACTGGAGCCTTTGGAAGTGCCCTTGGAGACTTAATTTTACCAAAAGCTTTGAATCAAACCTACTTAACTCCTGAAGGGTTAGCTATTTCTCAAAGGTGAGCATGATTAAATAAGGTTTTCACTTTGTTTTGTAAAATTTGAGTCTTCGCTTTGCACTGTCGCTAAAGACTAAAAAGAACAGCTTAAGCTTCACAAAGAAGCATTTCCAGCTGTTGAATCCGCCGCCTGTCGCAGTACGGCGCCCTCCCACTGGGGATACAGAAGCACTTCCGCCTTCTCAGAAGTACGGTGTGGTAACAGTGCTGTCAGTTGCCCACCCCTTACAGTCTCACGTTGCTCCAAGAGGAATTCTGATCTGATGCTGAATAAGACTTACCATGAAGCAAGTCCCACTGGACAAAAAGTCGGTCGTAGCATTTTTCAGGTAGAAGGATTGGCACCAGAACTCGTTTCAGCGGTCCGTCTATCTCGGCTGCCATACTGGAAAGCGTACTTCCGCCAATTGCTTGTGAACGTCATTGACACGCTGTGCGCATGCGCACGGCTTGCGCTGATTTCTAGTTCTTTCTGCGACTTAAATCCGTCATGCCCTGCTTCAACTTTGTTTTGCTTCATCCTTCATAGTTGATGTGAACCAAGTTGTGTTCACATACCTTGTTCTACACAAATCTGTTAGAATACTGAAGTGTGCTAAAGCTGTACGCCTGCGCATTACACTTTTCGTCCCTTTGTTTACACTTCTATCTCCGAAGTTAAAATTTATTCCTTCTGCCTTTTTTCCTCGGCGCCATCTTGTCTGTTCAGAGTCAATACAGTTCCAAGTGCGGAGAGAACACGAGCCTCCAAAATGGCGTTGGACAGGGGCGCTGAGGCCCTCTGCCTCCTTTTCTTTCGGCGTCCCCTGAGGAAACGCTACCGGCGAGAGCGGGACAAGTATGCGCCGGGAAGCCCTCCATAGACGCCAGGCTGAGCGCAGGACCCGCCGCTTCTTCCCTCCTCTGGTTCGCTTGGACCTTGGAGTCTGGGTCCTCCAGCCACTACGGGGTCCGGCACTCGGGCGTAGACGAGGAGAGGGGACTGCCCCTCCTCCGCACCCCTTGCCCGGGGCTGGCAGCGCCGTGAAATCCAGGTGAGGCCAGTTTAGGGAGCAACACCTCTGACCCAGAGATGCTGTCTGCCCCGCTAGGAGAAGCTGCCTTTGACCACCTGGGTGGCAGCCCTGCCCTTCGGGCCATCTCTGAGACACGAAGTGCGGGCTGAGTGCCGCTGACCATCACGCCGGTGGCTGCCCCGAGCCCGCAGTCAAGACCCACGTAGGTGTCTCTCGCTCGCCTGCCTGGTTATACAGCTACAAGTGGATTGCTTGGCCTTGGTGGCTATTTTCTATGGCCTTTTAATTGTAGAGTTGAAGAAATATCCCATGGACAAGCAGAAGAACAAAACAAGTCTGTCATGGAGAAAGTGCAGCCCGGGTTCTCCTTGGAGGCAAAGATGGTTAAAAACTTTGTCTCACATTCTTTGTGTTGTCAGGAGGGGCCGGTCCTTGAAAAAAAGATGTGCTGAAAAAAGTGGAGGGTCCGATAAAAGTGAGGAAGACCATCAACCAGACGGATTGACACAGCTGTTAACAATAAGCATGGGTCAGCATAGAGCAGGGTTTAGATTTGTTGTTCAGAGTGCTGAGTTATAGTGACCACACCTAACAGAGGTGGAATTAAAAAGCACCTACAGTTTGCCGGGTAGGTGGAATCATCCCACTATGGTGGCCTAGTCCTGGCACTGATTCAGGACTGGCAGTCCTGGAGGGTTTGCTGAGTGGGGAGGTCAAGTACCCTTTGCTGCCAGGGGCTGAGGAAACCTTTTGCAGGTGGGATCCAGACAAGCCAGCGGCAACATTGGTTTGGTCAGGCTGTTTAGCCCTGGGCTGAGGCCACTGGCACTACCTTTAAAAATGACACAGCATGACCTTCCCACTAGACTGGTGGAGTCACCTGAAGAAGCCTGTGGCCCCAGAAGAGGAAGAAAGTGTGACAAGATTCAGCACCAAGGTCCTGGGCCCATTTTTGTCCCTGCTCCCAGCAGTTCTTGGCTTCTTAAGACTCAACCACAAACGGCACAGAAAAACATGTATCGAGACAAGAACTCATGGCTTTTAATCCTGGCAGGACAAAGGGATTCAAGGACTGAGTCCTGAGTGGGCTGTACTGCTCTCCAGCCAGAGGTGGGAACGGACAATATGTCATATTCAGTAAAAACCCCACACTCCTTTTTGTTGCATTATCTCTTATTTTTGCTCAAAACAGGAGGGAAGGAAGAAGACTGTCTTTCATGGCGGATATTCTCAGAGAGGTTGGTAAGTGGATGGGCGTCTCCGGACAATGCAGAAGGCAACAAGCACCAGCATGAGGAGGCCAAGGAGGACCAATCCGATGATGAGAGGCAGCATGATGGACTGGTCACTGGGACAGGAGAAACCTGGCAAAACGATAGGGCAAGTAAGTGTTGCAATGGGGTGTCTGGGATGGGGTAGGCAGGAGACTGGAGGAGGTGCTTGAGATTGGCAAGTTTACTGAGACAGCTCAGAGCCAGTAGGCAGTAAGTAAATGGGCAAACCCTGAAGTACAGCCATGAGGAGTCAGTAGGAAATGCAGAGCTGTTAAGAATAATGAGATTAATGAGCTCGCAGGGCTAGAGAATGGTCTTCCAGTGCATATGGAGGTCTGGGAGTGAAGGAGTAGGTCTTACTTGGTCCAAACACCCCTGTAGGGGATAGCTGAGCAGCTTGAAGTTTCAAGGATAACAGGTTGAGATGGAAAGTTGGTGAAAGAATGATGCTTGCATTTCTGCAGCTGAAGCTTTGACCCAGTGGGGCTTGGAGATCTCGAAGTGATGAATTCTGAGCTGAGAATATCCACTCTGAAATGGCAAAAATGGGTAAAATCTATATCCACCTGAATATTTATCAGCCTATCTCTTGGAGCCCAGTTATCTCATATGAGCAGTGAAGAGAGCAGGGCTACTCACGTGCTGCCTTGGGGAAGGACACATTGTACTCCACAGCCATGTAGTTCAGATAAACAGAGCTCCCAACAGGGTCCTATGAAGCAGTACAGGAAGAAAGCTCAAGGCAACAGTGGGGAGCAGCATCCATGTCCAAAGAGCAAAGGATTGGTAGGGCTAGGTGCTTGGAGGGTCAGAGGAAGGGATGAGGGTGGAAGCAGGAGCTGTACCTGCTTGAAGCCAAAGCTGAGGTGTCCATAGGGGAATGAGAGAAACAGGTGGGGATGTGCACCCTGACAGCTGCCCAGGGCTTTGGTTTTGTTGGCGTTCAATATAGAGAGGCCCCACAGCTGTGGAAGTTAAATCTCAATGTCATGGGACATGGCCATGCGGAGGTTCCTTCTTTGCATCTTTCCCATCTGGTTACAGCTAGGACTTGCCTCCTCCCTTAACTTTACCTCTCCTCCATCATGGGTTGGGTAGAGGACTCGAATCTGTATCTGGGCTTGGAGCCGGACACAGGGCTGGGAACCATTAGGCCAGGTATAGTCTCCTATAGCTTCTTTGGAGCCAGGGCTGGGACTGGGAGAGGGTGGAGGTGGTCCTGGGTGGGAAGTGGTAACTCCTGGGCTGCTGGCACTTGTTGGATGGACTGTAGCGTTTCCAGGGCTGCTGCTGATGGAAGGATTCAGAGTGGTTTGGGATCCATGGCTGGTGGTGGTAATTCCGTGGCCCTTGGTTGTGGGACTTGCAGTGCTTTCTGTGGTCATGGCAGGCGTCACCGTGAAGGATGGCAGCAGAGTGGCTGACTTTTTATGAGGACAGTCGTTCCCTGTCCCCTCAGCTTTCAGCAGAGAGAGGCCTGTTAACAACCCTGCAGCTTCCCAGCAGTTTCCCCCCTTTAGGCACCTCTTACCTGCTAGTAATCCCAGCAAGGCCCCAGAGAAGAGCACAGCCAGCCTCATGGCAGATCCACCTCACCCAAAGCCCAGCTAGCTTCTGCTGCCTGGCTCAACCCCTTTCCCTCTGCTTTCTTGGGGAAAGGAGGAAATGAAAAGTTCTACTTCCTTTTAACCAAGAAAATACCAGCCCCCTATTCTGACTCAGGCACCTCAGCTTCAGCCACCCACCTCTTAGTCACTTAAGTTTTGTCATCAATGTTACGGAAATTCTAGTGGGACAAAGATCCCGTGCACTGTGTGTTGAGGGCAGGCCCTACAGAACCAGTTGTGAAATGACAGCCCTTTCCTGATAGGCAAGATATAATAGAGCCTCAAGCCAGTTAAACCAAGGATTTCTCTCAAGTGGAGCAATTCTGTGCCATTACTCCCAATGTGTTAGATGAAATACTGTAACTACATGCCCTTGAGTCGCTTGTGACTCATAGCTACCCTATGTACAACAGCCCTAAACTCCGCTGTCCTGTGCCAATCGCACTTGACACTCCCCAGTCACTAAATTAATCCACCTCAGAGAGGGCCTTCCTCTCCTGCGCTGTCCCTCCACCCTCCCAAGCATGATGTCCTTTTCCAAGGACCTGTCTCTCCTCACATGTCCAAAGTTATGTTAGACGGAGCCTCAGAATCCTTGCCTCCAAGGAGCCACGTGGTTTAACCCTTTCCAGGACAAATCTGTTTTCCTAACAGTCCATGGTATTCTCAATACTCTTCTCCATTACCACAGCTCAAAGGCATCAATTCTCCTTCTATCATTGTCCAAGTGATTGCTAAGACTGTATCAGATGCACCGTAGTATCCAGAGACACCATTCATTGCTCTTCAGTACTTTGTTACATACATGTAATCTACTGAGTGTGTACCATTTTAGGGCTGAATATTTCATTACCTCATAAAATCTAGTTACAGGGAGAACTAAGTAGCCCCCCCACTAGCAGGGGAAAGGGGGGAGGAGGAAGAAATGAGAAGCCCAAACAGGCAGTTTCCAAGTAATTTTATTCAGAATTTTGAATTTGCTTCCTGAATCAATAAATACTATACAAAACAATGTAAAAATGGCTACCATTTTCTCTCCCTTGCTCCCCCCACCTAGAACAATACCCTGGGCCACCTCACTCTAGCACTGTCCCTTCAGATTTGGTCCAGCATATGGGGTTGA